GAGTCACGGAAGCATATATCTAAATAGGTAAACGAGTAAAAAAAAAAACCTTCTTCGTTTGTTCTCGAAAGGCCAGAAGATTTTCGTGGGTCCAGTGTGGACACTGTGAAGCTTGTTGTTAGTTGTTTACTTTAGTTTTTATCCCACAGCCTGGAGATGTAGTGAATGAAATAATTCTCAACAGCAATTTAACTAGATTTTCTATTTTCGGGTTTCAAAGTTTTAGATTTAGCAGCAAGAAAATGGACATCCAGGTCAAAACCAGAGGCTTGAGACCGTACGCAGCTTCAAATACCTGCGTGCAATAGTGATAGACCAAGGATCAAAACCAGAAATAATCTCCAGAATAGGGCAAACTTCAACAGCAATGACCAAGTTGAAAGACAGAAATATCACCATCAGATCAAAGATCAGACTCATGCGTTCCTGGTAATGTCAGTATTTTTGTTTGCATGTGAATTCTGGACCTTGAATGAAGACCTTGAAAGAAGGATCAAAGCTGTGGAGATGAGATGCTTCCGAAAAATCCTTAGTATCTCATACAAAGATCACATCACAAATGCTGAAGTCAAACAACGGATCAAAAATGCAATTGGACCATACCATGACCTTCTCACTTTGGTCAAGAAACGCAAACGGCAAACGGTAATGACATGGACACATCACCCGTTCTTCCGGCTTTGTCAAGATGATCTTGCAAGGCAGCGTCCAGGGAAAAAAGAGCAGAGACAGACCGACGAAGAGTTGGAAGGAAACATCAAGGAATGGACAGGCCTGGACCTCAAACACGCTCTGAAGAACGGAAGGAGTGGAGGAAGCTGGTGGTCAAATCTTCAAAAGCCCCGATGAACATCCACTCTTCGGGATAGGTGAAAGTGAAGTGAAGTAGATTAGTTTTTATCCCTTAAAATTTGGAGATGTAGTTAAGGAAATAATTCTTAACTGCAATTTAACTATTTTCGGGTTTAAAAGTGTTAGATTGTCTCATAGCAGCAAAAACATCACAGTGGACATCCAGTCAACAATCAGAAGATTGAAACCGTACGCAGCTTCAAGTACCAGACAGGTCTGGACCTCAAAGACACGTTCAGGAAATCTGAAGAGCGGAAGGAGTAGAGGAAGCTGGTGGCCAAATCTTCAATAGCGCCACAACGGACATCCAGTCTACGGGATAGGTGAAGGTGAAGTGAAGAAGATTGGTGAGTGGAGTGAGGCAAGACGAGGCATCGGACAGAATGAGAAACGATAATTTGGGAGAATTTTCTACGGAGTCTAACGCCAAGTCAATAGCAGTGGCCTCCGCAGAAAAAATGGAGGCTTCGGGGAGGAGCATTTTTGCTGCTTTCTTTTTCTTTGGGGTCTATGACATTACCACACACCCCAGAGAACCGTACCTAGTTTTCCGGGTTTTTTCTGATGGTTTTGGTAAGTCTTTGTGACACATTTCTGGAATCGTTTCGTGAAACTAGTGGTAGTTGAGGCTGAAAGTGGGGTTCAAAATATTCAAGTGCGCAACTGAAGATGAAGTGACCAAACTCCTGGTTAATACGACCTTCGGCGGTATTCCATGTAGGTCCGAGCGCTACGCTACCAGAAATTCAACCGCTCGAAAGGCGTCGTCCGCAGCCATGAGCTGAAAGGCTGCTCCATGGAAGAAATTGTGGAGCGCTGTGAGGGAGTGGTCGAAGCCCGCCGGATTACTCTTCGGCGGGGGGAGACTACTATTGAAACAAACAATGTGCCGAACCCTCTGCGCTGTTTCAAGTGTCAGAAGTTCGGCCATAGCCAGTCACAGTGCCGTCACGCAGCCGTGTGTCCTCGTTGTGGCTCGACCGGGCATCCTGAGAAGGAATGCAAGGCTAGTCCTTGTTGCCCCAATTGACACGGCCAGCGCACAGCTTTCAGCAAGGAGTGCCCGACTTGGCTCCAAGAACGCGCCATCCAGGAATACAAAGCGCGAAATGGCTGCTCCTTCCAGGAGGCCCGTAAGGTTGTCTGCCCGCCAATCCCAACCCCAGTCATTAGCCGGTCGTATTCAAAGGCAACCCAGATGGTCACGAGGTAGGCAAGTAATTCTACTGCCGACCTCCCAAAACCCGCGGTCAACAGGCATGTCTCTGTTCCTAAGAACAAAAAGCCCGCTGCTATCCCTGTGGCAACCCCCTTTGAGGTGCCACTCTCTAACCGCTATAGGGTTCTAGGGGAGGACGGAGAGGACTCTTCCTCCGCCCCCTCTTCTCCCCCTCACCCCTCTTCTATCATTTCTTCTTCTTCTCCTTCTTCTTCTTCCACCTCGCAGCCCATCCCTCTGATGGAGTGTGAGGTGGGCCTTCTCCCCTCCCCCCAGCCCCCTCCTCCCCCTTCCCAGCCCCCTCGGTCTGCTCCACCTCCTCCTACCCCTCCAGCAGACAAACCCCTGCCTATGGAGGAAGATATCTCCGACCCCCCTCCTCGGCCTGACCCCGGGAAGGGCGGAGTCTGTCACTCCTCCAAATCCCCTACTAAACCGCCGTCCAATCCAGGACGGCAACCTAGAGGAGGAGTCAGAGTGTTTCTTCGAAGCCGGGGCCTTTGAGCTCCAAATTAAAAAGTAAAAATTCATAATGGCGGTCCGACCTTCCATTGCAGAATTGCAACATTTACAGGCCACACTGTGCCCACGGGTGGCCTGTAGTCAAGAAACAAAATTCGCCCCGGCTTCAACCATGGACTTAAGAGGATTTACTGCGTACCATCACATTCACACGGAGAACCAGATTGCTTCCGGTGGAACCACCATCTACACCGACAACCACACACTCCACAGACAAGTACATCTTAAGACGACCCTCCAGGCTATTGCCGTACGGGTCACCCTGCACAGACCAATCACGATCTGCTCAGTTTACATCCCACCAAATTACCCCCTCAAAATAACCCAACTAAATGACTTAAAGTCTCAGCTCCCAAAACCTTTTATTTTACTAGGTGATTTCAATGCCCTTTGGGGAGACAAACCTATAGACCAGAAAGGTAAAATAATAGAAAACTTTTTTTTTCAAAATAACATCTGTCTCTTAAATGATAAATCCCCAACTTATACAGAAACAGAGCCACTTATGGCACTTCATCCCTTGACCTCACTTTTTGTACCCCTGACCTAGTCCCAAATCTTGAGTGGTCTGTGCTGGATGACCATTTCCCAATTTTCCTCAAAAACAATAGCCCCCAAAACGACCCGATCCCAGAACGCTTCAACTTCAAAAAAGCCGACTGGGACGGGTTTGCCAATCAATGTTCCCAGATTCTTAATCCCAATTTCGACCACAACTACAATAAATTCCACGAAAAGCTTTTAGAAATATGCCACAATCACATACCAAAAACAAAAACAAAATCCCGGAGGAACAAGATCTGGTTCTCTTGGGAATGTAAGGACGCAGTAAAGAAAAAGAAGGCAGCGTATCGAAAAGCCGTCAACAACACCACCATAGAAAACAAGATCAATTATTTAAAGGCTCGAGCTGTGGCACGTAGATGCCTCAGGGAGAGCAAAAGACAATCTTTCCAAAAATACATCTCCAAAATCAACAGCCAGAAAGATAAAATAATAGAAAACTTTTTATTTCAAAATAACATCTGTCTCTTAAATGATAAATCCCCAACTTATACAGAAACAGAGCCACTTATGGCACTTCATCCCTTGACCTCACTTCAAAGTGGGCGCTACCGCCCCCAGGGGGGCGGTGGCGACAGTTTGGGGGTCGCTGTGGCGAAATTGGGCGATTGGAGGGCGGTGGTGGGCGTTAAGGGGGCGGTGGGACAATTTCATGAAATGCAACAGAAAAATGGTGAAGGGAAAGAAGCCACATAAAAAAAAAATATTTAAAAAATTGATAACTTATTAGGCATAGTTTACAATACTACTTATTACTAAGAACTTTCTTTCCCAGGTCCCAAAGCCCATAATAACTAATTATAAAGATGATTCATCCCAGCAAATCTGACAAAGATCTGGCATGCTTCAAAACTCTAAAAAATCAAATTTTCAGAAACAAAAATGAATTAAATCGATGTTTGCAGCCGACGTCGATCAAGCTGATGAAGACTTACGGGCAACTTATAATTTATCTCTACTAATTGCAAAGGCAGGCAAAACCCGTACTCTCGGTGAGGACCTCATA